TTTAAATAATAAAAAAATGAGTAAATTTGAAAATTTTGAGAAATATAATATGTTAGAATGTTATATTGTGTCTAACAAACATAAGTAAATGGCAGCTGATTTATATTTTGAGCGGTATCCAGAGCGCGAGCAACCAAACCCAGCCATTTTTAAAAGGTTAGAAGATAGTTCAATCAAATTTTGGATCTTTTCAAAAACCGCGTCCGAAAAATTATCAGAAAGAAGATGAAGAAAATCAATATGTTAATGTCCTCGGAGCCGAATACATGAATTAGCAATTAAATAAAATCGAACAATACGAAGCAAATAAAAAATAAGTGTGACAGAAACAAAAGAACATATTTTAATATAAACTCAAGAGGTTACTTCAACCGGGCTGCTCAGTTAATATAAAAAAATAAAAACACGAAGACTACATTAAATGTTCAGACTGCTGCCCATTATTATCTAGACAGAGTTGATACCGTCTCCGCACGCCGCCGTTAACAGTATTTCAATAGCTCTACTTGATGTTGTTGGATCTAGTTTTACGGCTCCGAGGACATTAACATATTGATTTTCTTCACCTTCTTTCTGATAATTTTTCGGACGCAGTTTTTGAAAAGATCCAAAATTGATTGAACTATCTTCTAACCTTTTAAAATGGCTGGGTTTGGTTGCTCGCGCTCTGGATACCGCTCAAAATATAAATCAGCTGCCATTTACTTATGTTTGTTAGACACAATATAACAATCTAACATATTATATTTCTCAAAATTTTCAAATTTACTCATTTTTTTATTATTTAAAATACACACAGTTCAATCTGTTGAAATGAAATGTCACGCATCAAAAACCAAACCAAACCCCCGTGACAAACCTAAAATTGTTCTTACTTAAATCAAGAAAAATCCTTGATTTTTCACGGTCGTAAGTCCTTCGTGAAATTTCTTCGAGTGTCTTAGACCGTTGATTTTACCTTACCTAATAACTAATAATAGCACAGATTAGGTATCCTATAAGTATACAGATAAAAATCTTGTCCCTAATTCGTGGTACGAAAATTATTTTTTATGACGATGTGCAAACGAGTCAAATTTCCTGTGCGCAAAAATAAACTCGCGTAAAATAACAATAAACAGCGTAATAGAGAGATATCGCTAAACCGAATAGCGTGCATGGACGTTGCCAGGTGTTATTTCCTTTACGTGAGGTGGTATTAACTCTCTTCATTTATAGTTATCGAACCGGAAAGAATTCTGATCGCGTCGCGTCCGCTACTTAAATTTAACCTAACTTTGAATTTAAAACTTTGAAATTGTTTTGTTTACTAGGTATTTTAAAACTAAAGGGCTAAAGTGCTTATTTCCAGTGCTTTATTGTTCAACGTCTGCTAGTGGGTTTAGGGCAACAAGCAACAAATTCTCTTAGAAGGGCTAAGTCGTCATCTGCTGTAAACCTAAGACTCTTTATAGGTTCTTTAGTATTGGAAGAGGTGGAATCCATATTTTGGGCCATATTTATTTAATTAAAACTAATCCTAGCTACATAAATATCAAATTACCTAATAAAACTAAAGCAATAATTCAAAACAATTCAAATATAACCTAAAATAAAAGATCTCGCCGGCCGGCTCCTGTTGTCAAATACCCGCACATGCCCATTTAAGCAATTTTTAAACGTTATCAGAGGTTATTTAGAAAGAGCGCTTGGTGTAATTGATCCGCAAATTACGTCAGGCGGTAACGTTATTAGCGGGTGTTGCGTTAAAAATTGACTCGCGCATATCGTAACGATATTCGGTTGTAACGATATTCGTAAAGTATTCGGTTTTCCGATATCTCTCTAATAACTGTGCCGGTCAGGCGCTGTGCACAATTTAGAGGCCATAAGTGGGCGTGCTATGTGCGCAAACTAGTCACCTAACTAGTACCCGATTCCGAAAATTGGAACAACGAAAAACAATAAAGAAAAAACTAAAATTATAAAAAATATCAAAGATTATAATCTGTATAATCTGTGATAATAGTTTCTCTAAAATAGCCAATCTATCTATACTAATATATAAAATCCTTAAGTGACTGACATACTGATTCATCAAGATCCTGCTCAAACCACTCAACGTAAGAAGCTCAATTTTGGCATACAGGTTGATTCTAGGGTGTAGATGTTCGATAAGAAGGGATTTTTTGAAATTCCAGTTCCAAGGGGGTGAAACCACCCCTTAAATATTACAATTTTTTTTTATTTAAAAAACGCTTAAACACGTATATTTTATTTTGTTTAAATTAAATTCCAACGAGATGAAACTACCCCTCAAATATTACCAAGTTATATAATAATATCGCCATATTGTTTTTTCTCATGCTGACATAAATGTGAGAAAATGTTATCCAGTTAATGGAAATTCTTGCTCTGCTTTATCATCACCATTACAAATGATTAATTCGAAGCGGACGAAGTTGCTGGTACACGCTAGTTGAAAATAAAATTGTATATTATCAAAATAAATTAATATTTTCTTTAATTTCTATTTAAAGTCTTTGTGGTACAAAATTAAATTTTAAACTGGCATATTAGGGATTTAATATTGTCCTTTTATCGCGTGCACGGCGGAAATAAAATCCTTAATCGCGTCTCGTTAGGACGTGAATCATACACGCTCGTGTTATAAATGGGGTAGTTATTTGATTTAACTCCCCGCTGTATGACTAAATAGATACGACAGTAATGACTAACAAAATTACCAAATTTTACCCATTACAACCATAAACCGATTACAAACAATGTTTCAAAATTTGTTTATTCCGAAATGTATTTTTCTCTCATTAATTTTTTAGTCATTGTACCATAGAACTGTATTCATGCAGTAAGACGGAAGAGACGTCATAGTGTCATAGTAGCCATTTATTTCTTTTGGTTGGATTTTAATTGTTATTACCTCTTACCACTTATCTAATACTCTACATAATTATAATTTGAGAAGATGTTCATAAAAAATTTAAGCACTAGTTGATTAAAACAAGTATACCACTAATATTGCAAATTATAATTTATCCTCTCATAGTATAATAAAATTATATAAGGATTCTTGCCACTTAACTGCTGGTATAGACATTTAATTCTACGCTGTGTTTGTCATAATGTGGATCAACCTGCTCTCACTACCGGTTTCGGAGCCCTACTCCATCATCAGGTGAGCTTGGGCAGATCCACAAAATGACAATCACAGCGCAGAGATAGTTAATTCCGACTTGTCGGAAAGTGTCGGTTAGATATTAAGTCCCGAACGGGAGATAGCGGCCTGCGTGCAATGGTTGTACTTTCGTACCACCGAGGCGCACTATCGATAGTAAAAGGATGGTAAAAGGCTTTTTTTCTGGCAAGCCAAATCTGCCCAATATAAAAAATCTGCCCAAGCTCACCTGATGATGGAGTAGGGCTCCGAAACCAGTAGTGAGAGCAGGTTGATCTTATGACAAAGACAGCGTAGAATTAAATTTCTATATCAGCAATTAAGTGGCAAGAATCCTTATATATGATTTTATTATATACCTATATTGCAAGAAATTTGTTTTCTATTTTATAATTTGGCTTGCCTGAAAAAAAGCCTTTTACCATCCTTTTACTATCGATAGTGCACCTCGGAGGTACGAAAGTACTACCATTGCACGCAGGCCGCTATCTCCCGTTCGGGACTTAATATCTAACCGACATTTTCCGACAAGTCGGAATTAACTATCTCTCCGCTGTGGTTGTCATTTTGTGGATCTGCCCGGAATTTTTACAGATAATGTATCTATGTTGCCGCTATAAGAACAAATACTAAAAATTGGTCAAGTGCGAGTCGGACTCGCGCACGAAGGGTTTCGTACCATTCATTATCTATACAACATTAGACACTATACCTATTATTATAAACTTTTTTTTCGATTTAGCTGAAATTTTGAATGCGCGTATAAGTAATTTAAAAAAAATGAAGAAACACATTACTAAAAATTGTATTAATCAATAATAAATATGTAAAAAGTAAAAATAAATATGTAAAAATATGTAAAAATTAAAAAACAAACGATTAAAAAAAGTCGCCTTGACTAGGATTCGAACCTGCCTTACTACGGCTCCAACGTCATAGCAGCGTAAAGTCCTAACGCTTTAACCACGCGGCCACCGAGGACTTGAAAGATTCTTTGTAAAATTCTTACTTAAAAGATAATGTTTAGTGAAAGTACTTTTTTATTTATAAACATTTATTTAATTCTGTTTTTAGTATTTGTTCTTATAGCGTCAACATAGATACATTATCTGTAAAAATTTCCACTGTCTAACTATAATGGTTCATAAGATAAAGATAGACCTTTGTGACAGACGGACGGACAGACAGCGAAGTTATAGTAATAGGTAATAGCGTTCCCGAAACCAAACCAAACCAAACCCTTTGGGTACGGAACCCTTTTTTACTCTTCAAACCAGTTAAATGATATATACATAGGTGACGCCCTCTACAAGTGGAAGTCGTATTAAAAACAAAATCAAATTTCTCTTCTCAAAAAACTTCCCGACACCAATTTTCATCCAAATATTGACGTTACTTCATAAATTATTTGGAAAAATCGAAATAAAATTGAAATTTCTACACCCTGTATCTCGGAAACGAAGCATTTTAGGTCATACATGTATACGAACTTTTTTACTTATTTTTATCTGCAGAATATGTGCCGAAGTTTCAGAATACAGTTCGGACCACCCTGTATAATCGTCAATAAGCGATCAAGCAAATATTGACTACATTACGAGACCTACAAAAAATTAAGTTTATTATTATCTTAACGTTCATTACCTCCATTTCTATTCCGTACTTTTACGATTCTTTAACGTGCAATGAAGTTTATTATTAAGGTCTATTTTTAGTCAACCCCATAATGACTAACAATCTTCATCAGAATATCTAGGGTAAATTTTAGTTTCGCATGTTTCTATCGCATCGTCGTCTGTTAATGAAATATTGTGCTTTGTTTCAGACATCTACAACAGCAAATTAATTTTAGACCTTGAATGAGAATCGTTTAAGGGAGAAGAAGGAATATGGGTCATCTTGCTCTTGTTCTGGGATTTTCGCTGATTGCTTTTGGATCTTCTCAGGACTTAGATTTGCAAACGTCGATTACTCATGATTATAAAGGTAAGGATATCTATATGAAATTAGAAGTGAGTTTCCAAATAAGTTAGTATTAGCATACAGGTTGGCGCCTCTCATACGCCGCGGAAGCTCCAAGGAGAACGGTAGTTTATATCGAAATGAAATTTTGATAACTTATGTACGTTAACTGAAAGCATTTTATAAAAATATAAAGAATTATACAGGGTGTTCCCAAAAAAAGTTACACATTAAAGTTGTGTTTTTTCTAATGGAACACCCTATATATTAATTGATTTTCGGATTCTAGGAAAATAATAAAGGTGAGTTTTACTCACTTTAACTTTCGATAACAGCTACCTAAATTTTAGTTGACCTTGTATAGCCTGATATTTAATTATTACAGTAACCATCGTGTCTTAAACACTTTTAAAAGCAAGTTACTCTTTTATTTTAAATGGAACACCCAGTATATTTTTCGGGTGTTCAATGGGGAATCTATATATCTTCAAAATATTATTAAGGTTCCTACCCTTCAGACTAGATATTTTAATTTTTATGTATTTGCGTCAGTAGATGTTTATTATTTGAAAAAATCTAGGGTGGCTGTGTGATATAGGTACCTTTTGTTAATTTAACAAAAATTAAAAATTGTTGAGTAAAATACTCAACGGTAATAAAAAGATACACGTTTAAAACATATTTTAATTATTACAGAATTAAAACTAGATATAAACCTATAATTATGTGACAAAAATTAGTTAGATGAAATCAAATGCTCAAAATGCTTCCGTTCCTGTTAACTGCAATAAATGATTGTCTTTTCAAAGGGATCTTTTCATTCTAAAAGGCATATGTGGAGTTTTACCTGCTACAATAATTTCTCTCATGTTGTCGACAATAATAGTTGGGTTTGTCTTGGGTCTTGGTCGACATTTGTAAACACTGTCTTTAACATATCCCCATAAAAAAATCCAGACTAGATAAAATCAGGAGCATTTAAGTATTCTATAGCAAATTGCATTCACCAACTAAATAGAATCGTATCAATTCTCTCTGATGTAGGATAAATTTGCATTTTCAGCAAAGTTCTGAGAATTTTTTGTTTTAACTGACACAAAATGATAACTAGCTGTTAAAGTTGGACTAATTAGACAGCTATGTTGAAGTAACGTCAGACATATCACAGCCACCCTAGATTTTATCAAATAATAAAGATCTACTCAGATCAAATAATGCAAATGAAAATATCTAGGAAAATATTTGTTTGAGGGGTAGGCAACCTTAATAGTATTTTGAAGAGACATTAATTCCCATATCACGAAATAATATACTGGGTGTTCCATTTAAAATAAAAGAGTAACATGCTGTTAAATGCTACCAATCTTCAATATTAATTTTGTCTCACCCTGTATAACTTTTTGAATCAAGTTTTAATTTGATTTAAAGTACAATAGTTAATTTAACTACATATTAGGCTATACCGGGTAAATTCCAATTTAGGTAGCTTTTATTGTAATTTAAAAATTGTTCTTTATTTCTAGAAAATATTAAATATGTCAAAAATCTTACATTTTAGTCATATACTTCTCTTATAAAACTCACCTTTATTTTTCTCCCAGAATCCGAAAATCAATTAATATATAGGGTGTTCCATTATAAAAAACACAACTTTGATATGTAACTTTTTTGGGGACACCCTATAGAACTCCCTATATATTTAAAAATTGCTCTGAATTAACCTACATATGCTCACAAAATTTCATTTCAATACAAACTGTCGTTCTCCTTGGAGCTTCGCCGGCGTATGAGAGGCGCTACCCTGTATGTATACAGATAAAAATCTTGTCCCAATTCGTGGTATGAAAATTGTTTTTTATGACGATGAGCAACTGTGGTATTAGTTTAAGTTATTAAAAAAGCACTTATGTGGTCTACATTTATTTTTATCAGGGATTCAAGTCCTGTAAAACATCTATTTAAATTACAATAGAGAATTATACTAAGGGCTGGCAAAGGTTAGTCTTGGGTCGAGATTTCCGTATGTAAGAAGAGTACAATGCGTTTATTATGTACTGAACAAAGAGAGAACAGTAAACACGTTGCCAAACGTATGAAATAAACCGAGAAACTGTGCACATCGCTAAGAGACGTGGAAGGGGATATAGCAGATTTGTCGCAGTTGACCGGTCGACCCAATCAATACATGATCAATACCTCTGTCAGTACTTAAAGTTCTAGGGAAAGGTGTACGTCATGCGTTCAGCTTCACGATTTAATTACGTCTCGTGATACTGAATTTGTTTATTTATTAACGAGTCGTTGTAATTTTCCCTATAGCTTGAATTTTTTTAAGTGCAAGCTAGAAACACTTGCATTTTTGGTAAAAATAAGTGGAATTGAGTGGGTGTTCGATAGTGGTCGCGCTATTAGAACTCTGAATTCAAAAATCGATATCTCGAAATCTATTAGAAATAATAGGTTGTAGTTTTTTCAAGAATTTTGTTAATATTTCTGCTGTATTTTCTTTGTAGACAGTATGTGAAAATCTTTATCAATAAAAAAATTACACGATTGCTGAAAATTGCTATACTTTAAAAGTAAATGGATGGATTGTTTACAATTTTTGAATGGAAAAAACAACCTTATCGAATTTTTCTTAAGTAAATATATTGTAAAATATCCGATCCTGAAAATAAAAAAAAGTTTCAATATCTAAAGTGGTTTTTGAGTTATGGCCTGTTACGTGTTAAAAAGTTGAGTTTTTAAATTATCGCGATTACTGACGTTTTCTCGTTATAAAAAAATGACACCCTAACGATATCCTTATAATTCCATTTCAGATGCTCAGAAACATGTCTAATGATTTTATCTAGTTATCTCTTGAAAAAAAAGTATTTTAAAAATAAGCGGTTTGTGATCGCGATTTTACTTTACTTGATAGGGAAAGGCGTATCGGCAACGCCGCAACAGCACACCGTCGCGCGTCGGTCGCATTTCTCTCACTCCGACTTAATAAGATCCCTATGCGATTTACTTCCCCACATGTAAATGCCGACCCAAAAGTAACAGTTGCCAGCACGGTATAAAAGAGATATTTTTAAATTAAATGATGGTCAAAATTTAGTACTTTTTAAGTAAAACAGGAAGTTTTCCGATATTCTTTACGTAATTTCCATGAAACTCGCTAAAAAGTTTGGTAAACATTTTATCTTAAGCTCCATACTCACTATGCGCAGATGCATTGTTACGGTGTAAAAGTAAAAGTGTTTTGTTTCTAAATAAAAAAAATTCTAAATAAAGAAAAGTGAATCACATACACTTCAGTTATAACTTTTTATTAACTATTATATTATTTGCTTATACATATGCCCAAGTAGAAAATTCGCCAAAATTCACGGCAGACCTGATAAGCAAAGAGAGAAAGCCAGTCAAAACTGTAGTGAATCTACTAACATTGTAAACTGAATAGGTATGTAAAGCTAATGGGATTGACGGACGAAGCTATATTATGCAGCTACTGTCAATCTGAAGAAGAAACTAACTTGTTCCTCGGCTGTATGTCAAACGTACAGCCTCCCCACGAAAAATATCATTTTTACTCCTAATAAATCAATATACCTACTATTTTATGCTTCCTAGTTTTTATATAAATACAAAACAATATTTGAGCATTTATAAAGTTTAATAAAATGTTAAAAATACCGACTATAACCAACAATTATATTTCTTTTGAAAGCATTTATATGATTAATTTATACAATTAATTAATAATATAAACAATATTTATATATTTGTACAACGATCCTGAAATATGTAATTGAACATAATGCATTACTGTAATTCCCCAATTATATAGAAACGAATATAGCCAATTATCTACGATTATGCATGATTACTTTGTTATTCATAATTAAAATAAAACACTAAATCACCACAATACACCAAAACACTTTTACTTTTACACTGGACGCGCGTTTCGCTAACCATGTTAGCATCATCAGCAGATGATTATAAACTAAAATACAATCTACAATTGGAGCGTTTATATACTCGCTCAGTGGGCACAGAGTGGGCGTGGCAAGATCTAGCCAACCGAGCAGAACCCACCGAGCGTAACAGTTAGATTTCCGCCACTAGAGTAGTAGGAACAAAGAACTTTAAGGAATTGGACCGTTGTCTCTGTTCATACTATCTTTACATTTATTAATTCTGATGCTTTCATATGCATCTAATTGCCTGTAATTTGAGACTTGTTTAAGTTATTAAGATCTATACAATGTTCTTTATCAACAATATGTTCGGCAACGCAAGATTTATCAGGTCTACCATATCTTATCTGAGCTAAATGTTCTTTAAATCTAGTTAATATTGATCTTCTAGTTTGCCCAACATATTTCTGATTACAATCTTTACAAGAAATTTCATAAATACCCGACCTTTCCAGTAGAGGTGTTTTATCCTTTGGATTACCTAATAACTGTTGTAATTTATTATTAGCAGAAAATTAGATGCATATGAAAGCATCAGAATTAATAAATGTAAAGATAGTATGAACAGAGACAACGGTTGAATTCCTTCAAGTTCTTTGTTCCTACTACTCTAGTGGCGGAAATCTAACTGTTACGATCGGTAGGTTCTGACTCGGTTGGCTAGATCTTGCCACGCCCACTCTGTGCCCACTGAGCGAGTATATAAACGCTCCAATTGTAGATTGTATTTTAGTTTATAACACCAAAGCTTGCAACCCTCAACTGTAATATTCATAATTGTTATTTTGTGAAATTTAACTTGCGAGGTTCTGAACGAAGCTTAGTTATAGTGGACGACCAACTTTCTGATGAAGTAAAGATTCTGAGCGGCGTTCGTCAAGGATGTATACTTTCTCCGCTATTGTTTAATTTATCTAGCGAATCAATTTTCCGGGAGGCCTTGACTAGTAGAAAGGAGGGCATCACTATTAATGGGCAGGTCTTAAATAATATGCGGTTCGCGGACGATACCGTCCTTATAGCAGACAACGTGGAGGGTCTGCAAACACTTCT